ACGTGAAATATTTTTGTGTAAATGTGTTGTTGAAAATGAGATTATGGCACCCGTCCACAATTTATCATGTACTGCCAATTTTTTAAACTGTTACGATAGCGAGTTCATGGCTTTTGTCTACATATATTGATTGTGATTCGCAAAACCAGTGCCGAGTTGTATACTTTGCATTCTCCTAATAGCTCTTACAATTGTTCTCTTCAAAGAATCAAAATAATTGAGTGGAGTTTCCATTACAATATTGGGTAAATCACATTCCTTATCAATTTCTTCATATGCATAATGCAACTAAAACTGTTGGGACTCTACGACTTTTGTTCGTGTGTTTAGTAATGATCATTACCTAAACGAGTACATAGTTTGGCACATATCAAAATTGGTCCATTTCCCCATAAATAATTATGGGCTATATTTTAAGTCAATATCAGTATATAAATTCATACTTTTCCAATATTTAAATATTTAATTCAAATAATTGTAGTGTCAAAATATTCTCACTTTAGTCCTCAGTTAAATAGATATCAAATAACGACAAAACTACGCTCTTAATTGTTATCTTATAATAGAAAAATAATATATTTTTTTATTGAATTTGCTTTGGACACTCTATTAGCTGTTTTACAACTTGACTTTTCAAAGGGTCGACTAAACATAGACGTCAGCTCATGCAACGATTTATTGAAATCACCTTCATTCTTTCCGTCGATCTCGTTTTTTGTATGGGATGAAGAGGTATGTGGCTTCATCTCTTCAACCGAAAATATCCTATCCTACGTATCAATGTGTACCTACTAGCCTGTGGCTCATTTAATACTCTTAAAAATGGGTTAGTCATTCTACAATCTACGTTGACAAGACTGACATATCACTCATTACATGGATCACATCAATCATTCGAATAGGATTTTGTCAATAGGAGATCTTCAAATGATGTTGGCCGTCCCTTTCCCCGATAGAGCCTCAAATTCAATTTCGATACTTCGACTAGATAGCCTCGGAAAGATGAGCTTCGGTAGTTCGTAGACGAGCCTCATGTGGGGTGCCTCCATGTGGGATGTCATGTAGACTTCATATGGAGCGGTGGGTCGGGTGTAACACTTTTATTTCTTGACTAGAGCTAGGAAGTAAGCCCTACAAAGAAGCGTTGAAAAATAAGTAGAATTTATTATGAAAATTGGTTAATAAGGGTATTTCTGCGTATGAGAACATAGAAATGGAGAATATAAAAATAATATGAAAAATGGAGCAAATTAATTTAAGAGGTTGTTTATAAAGCTCATGATAAAAAAAAAAAAAAAATTCGCAGATTTTAATGATATGATTGAAAAATTGATAAAATTTATGAG